ATCCTTCTGTCTCAGCCTCCCAAGTAGCTGAGACTACAGGCATGCATTACGTGCCCGGCTAATTTGTTTTCTTTGTGGACATGGGAGTCTCACTATGTTGCTCAGACTGGCCTCGAACTTCTGAGCTCAAGCGATCCTTCTGCCTTTGCCTCCTGAAGTGTTGGGATTGCAGGCGTGAGCCATTGCACCCGGCAGAAGTGATGTTATCTTAAACTTTGTCATCTGCCTAAGAGTACATCTTGCATTTGATGGTTGAGTTATTCTACACAATATCCTTGGAGCAAGCATGGGACAAAAGAAAGCGGCAAGGGGGTGATGACATGCAGACTCCCAGAGTTGTCTGGTTTCAAACATGAAGCTAGGAATTTGAACTTGATAGCCTTTTTTATTTTTATTTTTTCCAGACAGGATTTCACTGTCACCTAGGTTAGAGGGCAGTAGTACGATCATAGCTCACTGTAGTCTCGAACTCCTGGACTCCTAGGCTCAAGCGATCCTCCTGCCTTAGCCTTTGGAGTATCTGGGATTACATGCATGCCACCATGCCTGGCTAGCTTTGCTTTTTAGAGATAGGGTCTTGCTATGTCACCTAGGTTGGTCTTGAACTCTTCGACTCAAGCAATCCTTCTGCCTTGGCCTCCCAAAGTGTTGGGATTACAGGCATGAGCCATAGCTCCCAGCCAAACTTGGTAGCTCAGCCTGTAATCCCGTGCCTTTGGGAGGCTGAGGTGAGTGGATTGCCTGAGCCCGCGGGTTCGAGACCCGCCTGGGCAAACTTGGCGAGACCTCATCTCTACAATAAAACCAAAAAAATTAGCTGGGTGTGGTAGCGTGTGCCTGTTGTAGTTCCAGCTACTCGGAAGGCTGAGGCGGAAGGATCGCCGGGGCCCAGCAGGTCAAAGCTGCGGTGGCCGGGAGCAGCCACGGCACTCCAGTCTGGGCGACAGAGTGAGACTCCAAATCAAAAAAAGAAAAAGACAAATACAGAAGGAGGCATTACAGCATTTTGCTTTCTTTGTAGAGATGGTGGTCTCACTATGTCACCCAGGCTGGTCTCCAACTCCTGGGTTCAAGCAACCTTTCTACCTCTGCCTCCCATAGTGCTGGGATTACAGGCATGAGTCACTGCACCTGGCAGAAGTGATGTTATTTTAAACTTTGTCATCTGCCTAAGAGTACATCTTGTTTTTGATGGTTGAGTTACTCTACACAATATCCTTGCAGCAAGCATGGCACAAAGGAAAGAGTCAAGGGGGTGATGACATGTAAATAGATTTCCAGTGTTGTTTGGTTTTAAACACAAAGCTAGGAATTTGAACTTGATAGTCTTTAAAGTTTTTTTTTTTTTTCCAGCATCAGGATTTCACTCTGTCACCCAAGCTGGAGTGCAGTGGTGCCATCATAGCTCACTGCAGCCTTAAACTCCTGGCTCAAGTGATTTTCCTGCCTCAGTCTTTGGAGTAGCTGGGACTACATGCATGCTACCATGCCTAGCATTTTTTTTTTTTTTAAAATAGAGATAGGGTATTGCTGTGTCACCCAGGCTGGTCTCAAACTCCTGGGCTCAAGCAGCCCTTCTGCCTTGGCCTCCCAAACTGTTGGGATTATAGGCAGGAGTCATAGCTTCTGGCCAAACTTGGTAGTCTTGAAAAAGAAAAATACAAAAGGAAATATTACAGAATTTTGTTTTCTTTGAGAGATGGGGGTCTCACTATGTTGCCCAGGCTGGTCTTGAACTCCTGGGCTCAAGTGATCCTTCTGCCTGCTTCCCAAAGTGTTGGAATTACAAGTGTGAGCCACCACACCTGGCAGAAGTGATGTTATTTTAAACTTTGCCATCTACCTAAGAGTATATCTTGCTAGAGTACATCTTGCTTTTGATGGTGGAGTTACTCTTGAGTTACAGGCATTAGTTTGCTCATAGTTCAAATACTTCACTATTGCAATGCAGCACACTATATTGGAATTATTTGTGTACATGTGTATTTCTCTTGCTAGACTATTTTATATCAGGGCTGTATATTTATTACCAGGATCCAGAGAAGTGCCTGGCTCCTGGCAGGTTTCAAACATGATTCAATCAGTGAACATATGAATGAATGTACAAACAGCTCTGAAAATGCTGTCTTTTAGGATGCAGGAATCATTAATACACTTTAGATGCCAGTCACTCTTCAAACTCCCTTCAAAGTGGGACACACATATTTGTTCTTTCACTTAAAACACACACCCACAAAACAAAAACAAAAACAAATTCAAAACACATAGATTCCAATGTCAGTGAAAGAACAATACTTTCCCTTACTAGCCTCCTGACTGGGGTCAGTCAATGAGATAAATAAACGAGATAAACAAACAAGAGGTACTCCCATTGTTTCTTAATGGAAGAGGAGCCTTTGTTATTTCAGAGACCACAAAGAAGAAAAGTAACAACAGTTGGCCCTTTTCCCCCTGCAAATCAGTCTCTCTTTTTTTTTTT